ATTCCCAGAGATGTCTGCTCGGAGATAGACACGTGCTCGGGGAAAGCGAGCCCTGCCCGAACGACGATAGCTAGAGAGCCGGGACTTGCATAATTTTGTAGAGTAACGTCCGAACTATCTACGCATGTAAAAAAATTGCTAACATTGTATGTTGGTTTTCTGAGAACGGAGCTGGTTTTCCAAATATCCTCTGAAAACCCGATCTCTGGAATTTTTGCAAAAGTTGCTTCCACTTGTGAAAAGTTCTGCTCAAGTCTTGGCTATTGAACAGCGAAAATCGCAGGTCTCTATCTCATTCCTATCAAAAGTTATTCAAAAAATGCCCACGGGTCTTGTATTTTGGGATGGATAGTATTATCCTTTTCTGAAAACGAGGTGGCTCGGTAGAATGCTTATCACATTCGAACGAAAAGTGATACAGACATGCGGTTTTCACCGTTATATAGGAAACATCAGGGGACTCAAGCGTATGCAAAAACTAGGCTTCCACGTCAGGTTTACGATGGCAAGCCTTTCGATACAAAATCTACGAGACCGCCATTTCTGGACCGTAGGATGGATTTTGATTTGCAACCAGTGCAACCGGTATCCCAAACCGATATCCACAATTCTAGATCCATCTTGACTCTCTACCGCTTACGATTCAGGAGCTATTTTCCCGAGAGCCCCCATTTACGCTAGTTGACCTTGGGTGATCCTAAAATGGACCAGGATACAGGTAATCGGCCACGGCGAGTCAAGTGGCGATATTGATTTTTAGTTTCAGACCGACCCCTAAAGCCACTATATGAAGATTTTCGAAATATCCGCTCTATACGCAATATAGTGGTCTAGTTTTTGCATACGCTTGGGTCTCCCGATGTTTTCTATCTAACGGTGAAAACCGCATGTCTGTATCACTTTTCGTTCGAATGTGATAAGCATTCTGTCGCGCCGCCTCGTTTGTAGAAAAGGATAATGGTAACAAATAACAAATTTTTGTTACTTTACCAGTAAAGTACCGAGTAATAAGCCACCCTTAATTACAAATGTGAACCGAAATCGGGCTAGTCAGTCGATAGCATCAAAGGCTATCGGATGTTCTTACTCTTTAAAACTAGGTGTCCACAGCCTTGAGAACAGGCATAAGGACAGTTGTGCTTTTCGAGGCACGTTAGAGAAACCATGATATCGATCGATTTTTGTTCACCTCCAAGGTCATATTCGGAATCCTTTTTACAAGATCTACAGGCTCATTCGCAAAAAGCAGAGAATATTCTGTATATAATGGCACGCTTCTCCATGCAAATACCTTCTGTAGTTCTATCTCTTTTTCTTAATTACCTATCGGAATCCATGATGTTGGTATTGCTTGTATCACGCTTGCTGCCATACCGGCTTTTGTATTTGTTTTGTCTCTTATCGATAGACCCCCTTGTGCTACTAGAACACTATTGAATAAGCTTTGTAAATTATGTTCAATTGTTGTATAAAATAAAAATAACTTTGTTTTTTCTTTTATATATTCCAACGTTTTTTTCTTCTTCAAAGCAGCTTCTTGTGCACGTCTGAATAAATACATCGAACTGTCCAGCGCAGCCAAATGTTGTTCCGTTGCTTCTTTATTTTGAAATAATTCTTTTCGCTGTAATGCTGTCATATCTTTAACCTTGAGCAGACCTTCATCTGCATCTTGTATACGCTTTGTTAAGATATCTTTGTTTGCACTCAGTTGTCTCATTTCATCTGTTAATTTGGAAATTTTTTGTTCTATATCCTTCATATCTTGTTTACATAATTGATTTACGTCTCGTTCACTAGTGATTTTACTTATCTCTTGTGTACGTTGATCAAACTTTGCATTTACATTTGAAAATAATTCTTTGTATGTATTCGGATCAGCTGGATCTAAGACAACTGGACTACTAGCAATCAGTCCACTGAGACCGGTTAAAAATCCGACCAACATTGTCTGGTATTCTTCACTCAGTGTTACAAGAGAGCCTTGCCTCGCGTCAGATGGAATACTTGCGAGCTAGAAAAGACAATAATTAATACATCTACGGCATAATTTTATTTAAAATAAGATTGATTACAGCGAGATAGATTGCATCAGAATAAAGATGCATTCAATGAATAACTCACCAGTTCTTTGTTGTAATAGGGTTGTAACACACCTAATACTTCATCTTGTTTTTTTTTTGTAGCTTCCTGAAGCATTTGATAACAAATTTGTCGCTTTTCATCAATGTTCAGATAACGTTGTTGAACAAATTCTTTGACAATTTGCATTTGACCATTTCCAGCTGCCCGTATCAGTTGTTGTGGTTCGTACTTAGGTTTCGTAGGAGGATCGGCATCATCTGCGTCAATAGGATCAATTGGTTTACCTTCCAATAGTTGAACAAGACGTTTATAATTTTGTTTACGAGCAATTGCAAGAGCATCATCACCCGCTTTATTTTTTTGCTTTTTGGTTACTGGATAATCTTTTAACAGAAACTGGACTGATGCGAAGTCACCTAGAACAAGATGAAAGACAGATTTCCAAGGGGTTTCACAATTTTCAATGTTCAAGATGCCATTGTCAAGATCGAATCTTGCTGAGGTGTTTTACCGATATAATTCTAGCCTAAATTAAATTACCGAAAAAAGTTCAACCCGATACCTCAAGTTTTTGGTTCTCAAGTTCAGAATATCTCAGAGGTGACGGAGTTTCCCTAAAAACGAAACTGACGATCCGAGTGTGAGCGAAGTCTTGGAGACGATTCTGTTAAGAAGAAAAATTATACCGCGTTAACTTTTGGATATGTTGTAGTCCTGAAAACACTAAGATCATTTAAATAACGTAGATGATCCGAAAAATTGCCGTACTAAATTTCCATAGTTCAGAAATTTCTTCACACAGCTCGCTTTCGTACAATAATACAATCTACTCGAAGTTTCTTCTTCACTTCCATTAGCAGGACAGAAACAGGGAAAATTTATTTTTAATTAATTTTTTTTCTGTGTAGATGTTTGAGAGAGATCAGGATCATCGTAATGTATGTCAGGGATAGTTTTGAGTATCCTTTTAGAGAGAACAATTTTCTCTCTCCAATACCACAAACTCGATGAATTCGAAGGGCAGGCGAAGAAAATTCGAAGTTGTTATTTTGCTACCGTGCCTTTCACATTATAAGGAGTCTGTCTGCTTTTTGAATAACTTGACAACAAAAAACGATAGAGATTTTTGGTTTTTGCCATTCAAATTCTTTTGAAGCGAAAACTTCAGAGCATCTTTTCGTAATCAAAAACCATTTGGGAAAAGTTTTCAAAACCCAGTTTTCTGAGAGGCCTCTGGAAGCTGAAGTTAAATTAGCAAAATATTGTTTTTTCTCAGGAATAAAAAGTTCCAAGTATTCTCTACAAAAATGGATCTAACAGAGAACCCCATCTACGTGGTTTCTGTATGGGCTATGGTTTACCTTGCAGCCCTAGGTCTACTCTTTTCTATAGTCTGAAAATCTTATCAATGAATGGAAACGTAGGTTTCCGACCATACTGAACCTCGTGGAAATATGTTTTTTGTATCATGTTCCACTGTTACGACAGCTACACTATCATTCCTTTTTGTCATGAAAGAATGTTGACTCAAAATAGCTGAGTCAATATTCTTTGGTCTCTAGTGATACTATATATAGGTAGGATATTGCTTAGTGAAGAAAAGAGCTTTTTTGTTTCGAATCAAGATTTTCTGTTTTTTATTCGGCTTGTCCAACTAACGGTATCCTTTTTTCACTCTTTTTCAAAAGATTATTGCAGTAAAGCTACAAACTAATCTAAAATTGCAACTACATAGTTAAGTACATTAAACATTTCTCTACAATTCTTCTGATTTTTCTCTGCTATTGTCAAAGATTTTCCAAAGTTTTCGGGTAACAAAACCGAAAATATTGATGACTGGCTTCGATCATTAACTGTTAAGTTTATCGCCTTGGATATTGATGATGACGCAAAACGAAGATGGGCTCCTCAGTTTCTTACAGGTGAAGCTCTTAAATGATACCTTACACAACACACATCTTTGAAAACATGGGACGAACTTCAACAAGCTGTACGAACTAATTACCCACCAACACTAGAACTTACACGTGCATCTACTTTTCAACAGCTATTAACACGAAAACAAACAGTGGAAGAAAAATTTATTCACTATTATACTGATATGAAAAAATTATTTTATAGATATGATCGCAGTGCGATCATCGCACTGTGTCAATTGAACAACAATTGGATGTTATAAAAAATGACAAGAAAATATCATTGTTAGATAAAATTAGTGGTTTAGAAATTACCACACCTTAAAAATTACTGAAATTGATCCAACGTTATGAAGAAGATCAACAACTTATCGATTCACGTACATCAGATACTCTACCACTCAGTTCACAATCGTCAACGCGCCCATTCGCATCGGCATCACAATCATCTGCCTCATCATGTCGTCCGCGGCAATATTCAACTCAAAATTACTCGCTACCTTATTATTCATCGTATCCTTCAACTTCGCAACTGTATCCCTCCAGCACAAGAAATCGTTCCAACAACTGTTATCATCGTGGCTAACCAGGCCATTATGCTCGAGGCTGTTTGAAAAGATAATGGCAGATCGGGATGGTGATACTCCTAATACACAACGAAACCCACCATTCACATCCGGTACTTCCCATCTATATAAATCTTCATATTGTAACTATTATGCCACTTACGGGCATTTCGCTCAAAACTGTACGCAAAGGTAGTCTTCAAAATATATCTAATCTTAATCCATCTCTCATATTTATCAATATTTTCGTAAATAATCGTGCAACCCGGGCTCTTATCGATTCAGGAGCTACACATTCATTTATTACGCAAGCTGCACTGACAAGAATTCGACACTCTGCGTTACTCCCATCAAACATTATCACACATCTAGCTGACAATTCTTCTCCTCTAAACATACTCGGCGAGATCAACCTCACAATTCACGTCAACGACATTTTGACACCTCTCGCGGCTCAAGTAGTTAAAAAATTAAATTTCTATTTTATTCTGGGTGTAAACTGGTTCATTCAAACAGGTGCTAGAATTGAATACGATCGTCACCAAGTTTCTATTCATTCATACCATGGTCGTTCTGTTATTCCGTTTAATAAAAATATCAATCATCTAGCATTAGACGTCAAACTACTGAACACCATTACACTTCCACCGCGTGAAGCATCTGTGGTACAAGGCAGAACAGACATTTCGTCCGCCGATGCGGTGTATTTCGATCCTGATTCCGATTATTTAACATGTAAATTAATCCAAATTGCTCTAGCAATGTTAAAGGTACCAAGTTATTGCACATTCCTTAAAATACTTAATACCAGCGACTTTCCACGCACTTTATATAAAAATGCAATTATTGGACACGTAATACATATACCTGCTGATGTCGAGAGTTTTCCCATTCAGCCACCATCGTATTCCTCAGAACACGATCGCTCGTTTTTAAATTTTATTCGAACTACCACCTCATGTACATATACGTCAGAAACAATCGAAAAATTAATTAATCACATTCATGATCCGGTAGAAAGAAATGGCTTGCAGAAAATATTATCGGCACATGCCAAAATCTTTGACTTATCCAAGATCACACAAGCCCACACTTCATTACAACACATCATTAATACCTTCGACGCTCTTCCTATTGGCTCACGTCCATACCCCAAAATAGTCGATCAACGCCGTGAATTACAAAACGTAATATAAGATATGATGACTAATAATCAAATTTCTCTTTCAAATTCTCCATGATCATCAACGGTGATACTACATAAGAAACCAAAGGGTGGTATACGATTCTATATATAGATAGGATATTGCTTAGTGAACGAGCTTTTTTGTTTCGGGTCAAGATTTTCTGTTTTTTATTATTATTATTCGAATAAAACGAGTGACGGCTTGCACCCACTATGATTGTGTGTCGAGTTTTTCTTTGACTTTTGCTATACAATTATGTTAGTATATCAATATATTGATACATTGAAGAATATATTATCATATTATTAAAAGAATATAAATATATTATATTATTGTCAAAAATCATGAAAATATTTTTATATTCGGCGTCCTCTGCCAGTAACAATGTAGGGGGTCACAATTCATTTGATATTTAATACAAGAATGCCAAAGGATCGTCATATAGGAGAAAATGGGCCTACCTTTTTCAGTTGCTTGTGTAATTGGATAATCACCGTTGATATCAGCAATATTTACTGGACTTCCTCGTTCACATAACCATTGAACTAATTCAATTCCGTGATATTGTACAGCATAGTGTAACAAAGTACGTTGTTGTTCGTCTTGATAATTGAAATCTGCACCTAGAGCCGCTAAAGCTTCTGCACTTTGTTTATCATTATCGAATATTGTTGCCAAAAATTGTACATTCAGTTCTTGTGCTAAATATTGAGCTATTTGTTCATATTTATTCTTTTTTGCTAACTGTATCAATGATAGTTTTTCATTTTCATTTGAATGTAACATCGACGCACCACATGAAACCAAATCGTGTACAACCGCAAAATATTGACCGTGTTGAATAGTTAACAAGAGAGCTGTTGAACCATGGCAATTTTTCGAATTTATATCTGCACCCATACGTTGACATTGTATCACACTGTTTAAATCACCATTAGCTGCTGCCAAGCGTAATCGGCGATTAATCAAACACCGATTAAGAACAGATCGAACATCATTTTGGATATCTGTAGATGGTGGCAATTGAATAGTTTTTAGCTCTAGCCATTCATTAGGCATTTCGGCACCATTTTCACATAGAATTTGCACTAATTCAACGTTATTTTGATGTTTCAAAGCAACAGAAAGATTATTTGTTTGAACCATGTCGACACTTGCACCAGCACCTAGGAGTTGTTTAACTAATACCAAATTATTTGATTGCACAGCGTTTGTTAATTCAAAAGATAAACGATACTTTAGATAATTCTGGAGTTTTGTGAATTTATTTTTTTTTGCCAATGCATATGGAGAGTCGGCTGTTGTATAGTTGAACAAAGCTTGATGAATTTCTGGACTTTGATTTATTAAATAATCAACAATTTCGACATTATCAGACGAGCGACAAGCTAATTCAAGCATTTCCGGTGTCAACTGACCACCAGCTTGGTGGTAGGCTATTGGACCTTACAAAAAGAATGTCCTGTCCGAAAATTAAATGTTTTGGAGTCTATACCTGTTCGGACATCTAGACCGATAAAAAAACTAGGATAATAAGTTTTTTGAGCGTCTACTACTCACTCACATAAACTTAAGCGTTTTCTACTCACTCACACAAACTCAAAAAGGAAAAAATTCGATCTTCCGTAGACTTTTCGTATTGGTCCAAGTTATATCAGCATAACAGCAAGTTCATTTCGCGACAAAATAGCGTAAGAGAAAAAACTACTTCTAATTATCACGTAAGACAGTACAACAGAAAACGCCAGGGAATAAGAACAATGACTTAATGTGACATCTGATATAAAAATTTGAAGGCTGACAGTGACACTTATGTCTTCCTATTTTTTCAGAAAACTGCAGTGTAACCAGGGTGTGCCCAGGCGCCTCACTAAGCAGAATGAGCGGACCGATACGGATGATCCTTGGTTTGATCTTAATATAATCGCATGATTTTTCCTTCAAGCATGGTCACAGTTGGTCCCAGCGTAAGATGGGCTTGTCAAGAGAGTGATAACCCTCCAATATGCGAATTTTTTCGTTTTTACCATCACGAAAAATAATACACTGGTGCCCAAAATTATCGGTTAAGAATCTGTCTTACGCGAGACAAAATCAATATTCATCGCTTCAACCTTGCTGCCGGTAGCATTCTGACGAAGTACTCTCATACACTTTAAAAATAATCTGAATCTCATCATCTGGTTACGTTATCACATTGAATAACGCTATATTTTATTCGGAATTTATTTGTCTACAAATCGGAAAAAAAACATTTATCGAACGCTAAGTAGTATCCGACCATAAAAAGAATTTTGGATAACGGAAAGAACTAAAACGATGCTGGTTTCCACTATTGGATACAGGAGCTGATAGCAAGGGAAACTATGGAAAAATCAGTTCTCAAGACGAGGTTTACGATGGTAAACTTTTCAAAACAAAGTCTGAAAGCTGTCCACTTTTAAGGCAAAAATGGATTTTTAATTTTAAAATGTTGATTCTATCCTCTGAAGTATGCTCGTTAAAACTATGTAAATTCCAGATCCCTGCGGTTCAGGAGTTACAGGCGTTTTCCCGGACCTTCCTATTCTACACAACTTTGACTTGGGAGTGAAAACAAACATGGACTGTAGGTTATCGACATCGCTGATCATCATGGCAATATTTATTGTCTTCCTCAGATCACAGAAAGTTCCGCTGAACCAATTTTTCCAAAATCTACTTTTTCTCCTATACCTATGTAAAATTAAAATATTCATAACTCAGTCATTTCTCATCCAAACAACCTTAAATTTTCAGGAAGTACTCGAAACAAGGCATGGATTATAGGTCGGATTGAAAGAAGTGCGTACGATAATAAATAACCTTTGCGATGTTTAAGAGGATCTCTGAAAAACCTTCGATCAACCAATGACTTAAACCCAATTTTTCGACCTGATCTATAATCCATGACTTGTTTTCGAAAATTTCCTAGAAATTTTAGTTTGCTTCGTTGAAAATTGACTGAGGTAGGTCCTCAGGAAATGCGTGTAACTCCTGAACCAACAGATACAGGGATCTGGGATTTGCATAGTTTTAACGAGCATACTTCAGAGGATAGAATCAACGTTTTGAAATTAAAAATCCATTTTTGCCCTAAAAGTGGACAGCTTTCAGACTTTGTTTTGAAAAGTTTACTATCGTAAACCTCGTCTGGAGGCCTGATTTTTTCCATAGTTTCACTTGCTATCAGCTCCTGTATCCAGTAGTGAAAACCGCATCGTTTTAGCTCTTTCCGTCATTCAAAAAATACTGCGGATCATTCTTTTTATGAATGGATAGTAGTTGAAAAATTCGATCTAAGCAGGTCGCGTAAGTGCTTGGCACGGATAATACACTTTTCTCGAAGTCAGAAAAATCTTGAAGTTTCCTTAAAATAACAGTGATCAATTCTGTTATTTATGCTTTTTCTATTACTTAATGTTGGATAATATGAAGGAGACAAAATTAGTTTTTACTGAAGTTTTATGACCGTTTACTCAATTTGACTTTTAAATCTTCACAAATGGTGTTTTGATAATTATATTCTTCATGTTGTAGCCGAGACTTTGCTGTATCGAATAGTATAAAGAAAAGAAAATTTTAATCGGTTCAAAAAATATCTTATTACAATCGATTAGAAGAGCGATAATTAGGAATTCTCTCTTTTAAACTAACAGCAGCCATGATTAAATTTATTTAATTGAAAAGTCGGCGATTCTTCCTAAAGTCATTCTCGAAGAAAAATATACGATATTGTTTTACTTTAAACACTAAACGTTATGAAAAAGAATGTGACCCCATGAAAAAATCGCTGTTTTTCACTATTTTTGAAATAAAAAACCAAGAATAGGTAATTCGGGGTTAAAAAAGGTTGATCAAATTGAAAAGAGACGATGTGCTACACAATCGTGAACAACGCAAGGTTTTCGAAAATGGTAGAACAAACACTAGAGCGAGCGTGTTAAGGATGGACCGAAATATTTGGCTGCCACTGTGTCTTGGAGATTCTAACAAATAAACATTTTTCCGTCGCTAATGCTAAAAACTAGCAGATTCTACTTTACTATTTTTAATAGTAGTGTATATGTAACCGCAGTTGAAAACTTTCTTGTCTCCAAGCGGTAGGAGTTGGCATCTGACCAAAATGTAAAGAAAGTGTAGAGCGGAAGGTGGTAAGAGACCGTCCATTCCTCTCATTGCTTGCGATCAAAGACCAAAAGTTTTGTAAAGAGCGTATCGTCAAATCATTCCCTAAAGAAACATCTTGTAATCAAGATACAAAAAATTTTCTTTCTGATCATCATAACAACGTTTCTTGAAAGCATTTTATCTATATCACCTCTTGTTGAAGGTCCAATTTTTGCTGGAGTCCGAGTCCCTAAATTCGAACGTACTTAATGTTTGACCTCGACGACGCGGCCGGGATGTGCTTGTTGAATTGATTCCAGTAATTTTTTTCGTGCTATTTGTTGTAAATCACTAATAATTTGTTGACAACCAAGAACTACTATATAACATCGTTGTTTCTCCTCTGAAAGTGTTGTTCGTGAATTTACTTTAGTTGAATTTTCGTGAAATGAACTAATAGCTGCGTCTAGCGCTGTTCGATTATTTTTTCTATAACGAATGTCGGCACCATCAGCTATGGCTTGTTTAGCTTCATTAGCAAGACCGCTTTTAGCTGCGTCATGTAAATTGTCGTTCGGTTTGCCCGAAAATATACCTTTCGATTTTGCACCCAATTGTTCTTGATCAGTTGCATCGGTCGGTTGTATTCTTCCAACTTGAACTTGGGTTGTTAATTCGCATGTATCAAGATCAACATTCGGTTTAGCTGAGGGTATTCGTTGCTTTCTATCATCTATTGGACAAATTAATTGTTTTAGAAATGGGGTATGCACAAATGATGTCATCTAATTTTTATATTGTTTTGAAGAATTTTGATTTGTCAACATAAAATATGAGAATTAAAAAAATTCTTATCAACACTTTAGACGATTGAAAACGCGAAAGATAATGTAGTTTGATGTACAAGTTTCGAATATATTACTACAGAATGAAAAGCATGGTAACAGCAACGATATTTTTAAACTTTAAAACAGATTACTATGTTACGAGGTTGAAACCAATTTAGTCTCCTTGGAACCAGTTTTTTGGAGCTTGCATTTGAAAATGCGGAAATAGGAACTGAATGTACTGTGTTGTTTAATTTTGATTTATGAGTTAGAATTATCAAAGATTCTTAGTAAAACTTTGAATTTTATCTTAGTTAATAACATGTTTTGTATCCATGATATACTTAGGCAGAGACGATTTAAGGTTTAATTTGTTAGTAGAAGATGACGGGTACAGTGTTCAGTATTGTTAATGTTTTATCTGTATATATTATTATTTTATTTTTAGTAACTAAACGAGAAGAGTATCTCAAATTCTGTCCATCAGAATATGGTATGAAATGATTTTTTATTTCATTTATACGAATTCGTCCTAAAAATATTTGGACTTATGGTATTTAAACAGATAATGTCGTCAGTAGTAAACTCTTTATCGTTTTGGTAAAGACTTTTTGGAGCAAAATGCTCCACCAGTCGTTTGAAGGATTGCCTAATTGTTTTTCCAACGTAAATGTGACAGCAATCACTGCAATTGATTGCACAAACTAAATCAGATTATAGTAATTTGGGTCTTTTATCTGAAAAAGAGAATCAACTATTTAAGGTAGTCTGAAAGTTTTAGATCAACTAATGGTTTGGTTGTTTTAGTGCAACTTTTTATTTTTTTATGTCTGTAAGCCGTTTTTAATAGTTTGTTGTATATTAGAAGTCATTTTTTATACTTTATCTCGTAGTTTATTTACTCAATCCAAACGTTTCGGTGTTTTATACACCTTCGGTGGATAAATAATTAAGAAAACACAATTGAACGTTTTCTCAACATTCTCCAAATATATTTACCAGAATTAATAAAGCGAAACTAATTGCGAGAAAAAATGCAGAACAGCCGATACCATCGATATATGGAATTCCGTGCGAGTGTGCTGCCGTGTATGTGGGAGAAACGAATGACTATGTTAGAAGAGAAGATGAACGTCAGTCGTATGTTGATCGAGCATTACGAGGAGATGATTGTGGCGATTCTGAATTAGCTAAACACAGTATATCTACGGATGAATGGCACATTAGGTTTGATGAGACTGTCGTCTATAAACAGAATAAATATAGGCAAAAAAGGCTGGAAACAATATACACACAAACTAGTGATTCTTATCGATATCATAATTTACATTTTTAGACATTGTGAATTTTAACTGTATATTTCTTATCGTTCAATTGTGTTTTCTTAATTATTTATCCACTGAAGGTGTATAAAACACCGAAACGTTTGAATGAAATAAATAAACTACGAGATAAAGTATAAAAAATGACTTCTAATTTTTTTATCTAAAATTCTCGATAAGTTTTCTAATTAACAAATCTCAGCTACCAGTCGTTTGTCAACAATGGTATTTGAATGTTTTCATAACTAAGATCCTAGTTAATTTGTCCACAAATGACTGTGGAACCGTTGAGTCTAGTTATTCGTCGGATTTTGTGTAGTTTATCAGAAAATAGTTTATACGTGGAGTAAATTGATATATTTGAGTGAATGGTATAATCATTGTACAGTTTAGCAAAACATTTTCAAAAAATAAGTTGCTTACAAAAACATGGTTCGTATGTGGGGTTGAATTTTACTACGTCGATCTTAATCAGAAAACCTTTTCCCAACACTTTATACTCAAAATAGCACGTTTTCAGCATCAGAGGGTGTTTTGCACCCGTTTTCCCAGTGAAATGAAAAAAATTCATAACGCTTGAAAGAAGTACCATGGGCACAAATCCTTTAAGAGTTTTAACTACAAGACTTTCCTCTATCAACTGTCATAAGATCATCGAAAACGGAGTTTGACACCTCGAAAGGCTCCCTCGTTAGAGAAATCTATTAGTTATTAAACAACGGAACCAAGATATTAAAAAGTTTAAATCAAACTGCCGAGGAAAAGAACAAAAATTAAATAGACCGGATGATTACGTATTTCGAAAAATCGTTTGATATCGTTACTCTAGAGCTTATTCTTACTACATCTGTCGTCTCTGTCTTTTTAAAAGTCAGCACGAATGCATGTTGTCTAAATCGCTTGATTTGACGATGGTCGGCTATATATAAGGTTTTGAGAAAAACAGGAGAACAAGTTTAATTAAGACTGTAAAGACGAGAAGTAATCAGATATGGGGCGAATCAATCCTTAGAGAAGAGAAACACTTTAAGTTTACTTTGAATACAAATACGCTGATAAACGGACGAAATAATGGTAGGACCTTTGTGACATGAACAATAGTTGAAAATTTTAGTGGTCTAATATATCAGCTATACAGACATTTGAGAAATCTAGGTTAGTTTTCCAAACGAATCATATGTGGTATCACTCGACGGTATTTAATGCTGGTCTATGTCTGAAAGGTGCTAGTCAGTGATGTTTTTCCATTAAAACTAATATTCCAAAAATGAATTCGTTTAGGGATAAATACAGATTGCCGTCCCAACGTATTTTGATTAACATGAGATGTCAAATATTTGACTAAATAAAATTATAGATGGATTGATAGTAAGTATTAAGAAAAATGAGATTTGAATTATCAAATAAGATAAAGATACCATGTTTTCTGTGATATATTTCTCTCTTACCTAATTTTTTCATTTTTATATTCAGCTCCTCCCATATTACTGATGTTGTGATACTTTGTTATTGTTTCCAAATATCGCTAAAAGTGAGTTCTTTTTACCTATCGGTAAATACTAAATATAGTCTCCTTGATTGTTGTTAACATGGTACATCGATTCTCATGAAACGGGTTTAATGGATACCTTCCTCAACTGAAGGTGATATCATATGTGTATGATCGAAAAATGTACTAGTTTTTTATTATTAATATCTTCGTCTTTTGATTGAGTTGTCTTGTTTGATAAAGCTATATCCAATGGAGTTTGTTTCGATGTATTTTGTGCCTGGTGATCAGCACCCCATAGAACT